TAGCCAGATTTGTAAGGTAGAACTGGGATCATGATAGTGGGGGAGAGGAAGCATTTAAGAACTAGAGGAAAGTTGTATGTTTCATTGTTGCTACCCTACACCCTGACTGGCTCATCTCCTCCCCACAACCCTTCAGTAAGGGAGTGTCCAGTTGCCCACCGATGGGCTTTGGGGCTCCACTCTGCACTCACCCACCTTTATAATGATCTGATTTTTTGTTCTTTGATGCTTGTTACCTGATCCCTTCGACACATTGTGGTCACGCAGGTTGGTGTGCTTCTTAGTTTTAAAATATTCTTTTTTCTTGAACTCCTTGATATCAGCTCCCCTTTACCCCCCACCCTCTCCCACTGGAAACCTTATTCTCCTTGCTGTTTCTATAGGTTAATCAATCCTGGGTTTCATATATCAAAAACCAGAAAAACATATAACAAAAATTTAAGACAAAATACAGAACAATGACAAAATACATCAGAGATAAACCCCAATAGGAAAACACAGAAAATGTTGAAAACCAGATCAGGTTCAACATGTATGGAGGGAGGGGGAGACAACTGACAAGGTTTTAACCATTCAAATCATGTTTATCATTTTGCTTTCCTATAGTCATCTTTCCAATATGCTCTTTTTTATAACCAGTTTATTCCCATCCCTGCTTTATGGATAGAAGGAAATCACCAGAGGCTTCAGAGGCTTATTTTCTGTCTAGATCTCACAATTGTATCTTGGGTTTTTATGTCCTCTATAGCCTTCTGCAAACCAGGATCTCACAATTTGGGCTCTGGTACTATTCCTTCCTTTGGCTTTGTATTATATGATTTATAATCCTTGGTGACTGATGTTGGTGTGCTTCTACCATATGAACTTAGTTGACATCTCATATAGATGGCTGCTTGTTTGGAAACAAGTCTTTTAGACTCCAGGTATTATTTTTTCTGATAGCCTGGCAACATCTAATTTCTTTGCTTTAGCACCCATGTCTTCTGTTCACCCATGGGGCCATGATGTAAGAAATAATTGTTCTTTCATTGGAGCTAGGATTTAGTGCGAGCCCAAAATCCATTCTTGGATCTATGTGGTTTTTTAAAATTATTTTTTGGGGGGCTCATACAATTCTTATCACAATCCATACATACATCCATTGTGTCAAGCACATATGTACATTTGTTACCCTCATCATTCTCAAAACATTTGCCTTCTAATTTTGCCCTTAATATTAGCTGATCATTTCCCCCTTCCTCCCCCCCTCCCTCATGAACCCTTCATAATTCATAAATTATTATTGTTTTGTCATAGGTTACACTGTCTGACGTCTCTCCCCGCCTCTTCTCTGCTGTCTATCACCCAAGGAAGAGGCTATACTTAGATTCTTGTAATCGGTTCCCCCTTTCTACCCCACATTCCCTCCACCCTCCAGGCATAGCCCCTCTCACCACTGGTCCTGAAGGAATCATCT